GTGGTAGGAGGAGAGCGAGTATTAGGTTACTCTCTAGGTGGGACCAGGGGCATGCTGGGAAGAAGGGTTTGTTCTTTGGTGGGAGCAACCATCTTGGCATGACGTCACACAGGGGAAGGGGCAAGGCACCATAGGAAGAGGGCAGCAACTATACATAATAGCTCCTGAGGTGGTGGGAGACCTATCACTTCCCTTCCTTCTCCTCCCCCCAGCACCCCCCAGCCCCTGTGGTACAGGAGCTCAATCCCCACACTTTTTTTTTTAAACCTAGGGTCTCACTAAATTGCCCAGTCTAGGCTCAAACTCACTATCCAACAAGTTCAAGCCCAGCCTGCTCAACTTAGCAACTTAGTGAGGCCTCTGTCTCAGAATAAAAAATAAACAAAAAAATTTAAAGGGCTGGGGATGTGATTCAGAGTGAAGGCCTTGGGTTCAATCACCAGCACCACCCAAACAAACCAACAAAAACTCCTCTTGTGTCACTCCAGCACCACATTCCCTTTCTGGAGCAGCACATATTCTGCAACTGGTCCATTTAGCGAGAAATAAAGGGAAAATCCTCTTCTGCCTCCACTTGGGGCAATTCTGGAGTTATCCCCACTTCAGAGCTTGCCGTGGGGCCAGATGCAGCTTCTGTACAGACTATATATCCTCTCTCTGCCCAATCCTGCTTTCTTTATTTATTTTATTTCGGGTGTTTTGTTTTTGTTTATTTTTGTTTGTTGGGCTTTTTGTTTTGTTTTGTTTTGTTTGAGACAGGCCTCAAGCAGGCAGCAATCCTCCTGCCTCAGCTTCCCAAGTGCTGCAACTACAAGTGGGTGCTAGGAACCTGGCCTCGGGTAGTGACTCTAAAAGCATTCGCTGACAAACCACCTGTCAACTCATCTCCATTGTATGGTCCTGGGTAGCCCAATTTGTGATAGTCAGTCCAGGAGAGCTATGAGGAAGCAGGTGCTTGGGTGGGACTTGAAGGTTGGATCAGCCACCACCTTCGGGCAATAAAGCCCCCGTCAGGGGTAGGGGGAGCTCAGATCCCCACTGGAAGATTGTCATAATACACCAGGGGAAGGGCACGCCCCAGGCCAGGGGTGGTGAACTTATGGCACATGTGCCACATCGGGCTGTTTGTATCATTGAAAGCTCTAAAAGGCTTGCCATCACTGGCCTAGGCCCTAGCTGCTTTAATGAATCAGACTTTTGAGACTACAAGAAACATGGTAACTGTAAGAATAGGAGAACTGAGTGGTAAAAGGCTGAAAGTAATTAATTGGCAGATGCATTTGGAAAAGTGACAGTCCACACTAACTGAGATAGAAAGGATTTAAAGCCTGGGGAAAGTGGACTTTCACTTGGCATGGTGGTACACACCTATAATCCCAGCTAACTGGGAGGCTGAGGCAGGAGGAGAATTGGAGACCACCCTGAGCAGTATAGTGAGGCCCTATCTCAAGAAGAAAAGGGCAGGGTGTGGTAGCACATGCAAATGATCTCAACACTCAGGAGGCTGAGGCAGGAAGATTCTAAATTCTAGGTCAGCCTGGTCTACACAGGGAGTTCAGGAAACAAACAAACAAAGAAAGAAAATCCCAGCACTCAGGAGGCTGATTCAAGAGGATCACCACAAGTTTTGAGGCCAACTTGAGCTACACAGTGAGTTCAAGGCCAGCCTGGACTAGACAGCAAGATCCTGTCTCAAAAAAACCAAAAAAAGAAAGAAAAAAAATGGGGCACTGGGAAGATATGTGTTAATATATGGCCAGAAAGCCCCTCAAATAAGCATGTGGCTGCCTGAAAGCTCCATGACTCACTAAAGCAGTTCGGAGTACAGGGTGAGGGAGAGCCAGGAGCCCTGCAGGTTCACCATGGCTGTCACGCACACCCACAGCCAAGGCTGACAGGAAATGGCACTGCTGGGCTAGAGATGACAGAATGCACCACCAAGGTTGAGGCTGGCAGGGAGCAGCCAAGCCCATGCCCTTGTGAAGGCTGACGTGGCCTTCACCGCTGTTCAGCATGCACCCTGCCAACATCAGAAACAACCGCCAGATGCCCAGGGTGGCACCAAACCTTGAGGAAAACAACCAGCACCTGGTGGAGAGTTGATACACTGGACTCCTTCCACCCTGAAAATGAAGCATTTCATTGTGGCAGGAGTAGGTACACACTGCAGAAATGGTTTCATGCTTTCTGCACCCTGAGCCTCGCATTGCCACCCTCCAAGGGCTCAGAGAACATTCGAAAAGTGGACATGAGGTCCCATCATGTTGGACCTCAATATCATCACACACACACTCACACTCACACACACCCTGCAGGCTTAGGGGGTCTTGCTTCCAAAGGAGAAATGCATCCAGAAGAGGCAACGGCTACTGCCAGCAACATTGGGCTCCCTGTGTGCAGGGGCAGCAAGCAAGAAAAGGCATCATCATCTCGGCCATATAGTTTCCTCTGACAGATATTCTTACAACCACGTAGAAGCCATGTGGTAGTGCAAGCCCAGCCTGGATTACACAGGAAGACCCTGTCTCAAAAAGAAAAAAGTAAAAGAGCACTAGGAAAATAAGAAGGGAGTGATAAGAAGGATGTTATTAAGGAGATTGGGTATGAGCCAACGTGTTGAGAAATAAGTCAAATTCGCACTAGGAAGTCATCAGTGTCCTGCACAGGGACAGAGATTCAGAGCAGTAACAGTAACAGAGCCCAGGCTATGTGAAATCTTTGGCAGGGAAGCAGGAAAGGGGAGATTCCGCTTCATAGGAATCATGTACACGGCTCTTTCTTCCAGGCCCTATGCTTTGTGTGCAACAGCCCTCTCCCCTCCTTTTCTTTCTGCCAAAATTCTAATCCTCTGAGACCCAGCCATAGATCCAGGGATACAGTTATTACAAAGAAGCAGCTTGCCACAGAGAAAACATTCCTCTCCCCTCTTAGGCTCAATGCCCAAGGCATGTGAATTAGACTAACAAAGGATAGATTACCAAGAGAAAGGGTTTATTTGTATGGAGAGGAATTCAACAAAAAAAGTAGCTGACTTATTAAATAGTTAAAGTAAAAGGCTTATGCACCTAAATTAGTTGTGTAGGGGATAGAAGGAATTCTAGGGAAAGTCAATTTCTTTAGGAAACACAAACAGGTTTTTAAGAGAATAATGCTATGGTAAGTTTTGCCATAATGTTCATACCGGTATGAACATTTGGCTTTTCTGTACTTTTGTCTTGTTTTTTGAGACAGGGTCTTGCTGTGTAGTTCAGGCTGGATTTAATTCACTATATAGCCCAGGCTGGTCTTGAACTCGAAGTGATCCTCCTGCCTCAGCCTCTCCAGTGCTGGGATCACAGGCATGCACCACCACGCCCTGCTTATTGCTTCCTTTTGTGTACTTTAAATCAACTGTAGATTACTTATAATCCCTAATAAAAGGTAATTGCTTTATAAAGAAACTAAGAAGGAAAAAAAAGATAATTTCTTTGTAAATAGTTGTCTTTCTGTGTTGTTTAAAGAATCAAAGAAAGAGAAAAAAGAATCATAAAACAGGAAAAAGAAAACTGTACAGGTTCCATACAGGTACCCCCCTCCCCAGTAGTTCTGATCTAGGATTGGTTGAATCTTCAGATTCAAAAACTAGGACATGAGCAGAGGGGTGGTGCTCACCTATTATCCCAGCTATTCAGGAGGCTGGGGCTGGAGGACCGAAAGTTGGCAGTGAAAAAAATGTGGCATTTATACACAGTCCAGTACTACTGTGCCCTAAAGAATACTCTGGATACACTTGAGTCATTTGTAAGAAAATAGATGCATCTCAAGGCATTATAGGCAGCTGAGTTAGACAGAAACCAATATATAGTCATAGAGGGACTGAACTCTCAAACATCAGAATTGTGGCTCAAGACCAGGCCTCAAGATAGAGAGAGGCAATGGCTGGGCCTACATGCTTCCCTAAGGGATAAGCAATAACTTGAGATTGTACTGTGATTAGCATCACCTGGTCCAGGAAGTCCAGATAGGCATCGGTCGCCCAGGTGGGTGACCAGAGCGTCTGGACCCATCCCCTCCCAAATTGCCTTTGTGCTTTATCCATGTACCTTTGCTGTGTGACTCATTTCCCTATTGGATCAATATTAGCTAAGCAGCTATGCTAGTAATCCTATAGGTTAACTGTAGTTTTTTTTTTGTTTTGTTTTGTTTTGTTTGGGGATGGGGATCTAACTCAGGACCTTGCACTTGGGAGGTAGATGCGGCTCCACTGAGCTAAATCCCTGGACCAGTTGACTGTAGTTTGACCCACGTTGTACCCACATTGTGCCTTTGCTGTATAAGTCACCCCTGACAAAGGGCCTCAGTGGCCACCCCACTCGGGACCCCTCCTGAAAATCCAGGAGCTATTCTTCTCTCCTTAGTTCCAATAAAACTCTCCTAACTTCTTTGGTTCTCAACTTCATTCCTCCAAGTTGTGGGACCATGAACTTGGCATATTTGAAATCTAAAATGTTGGGAGTTGTATTTCTCCTATATCAAGACCGTAATGTTAACTGAAGTAAATCAGACACACCAGTTTAAATATCCCATGATTTCTCTTATATGAGAAACAATATATAAATAAAGTGCAAAATAAAAGACAGGTGAGAGGAAACTAGAGAGAAAAAGTTATAATCCAGCATGGACAATATATCTAAAAGTGTACCTTGATTTAGCATAATTTTCTTAGATTTTTTTTGTTTTTTGTTTTTTTTGCCTGTTAGTCTGGCTGTTAATCTGTATGTATGATAATTAACTTTATAAGTCCTTATAAGATAAATAAATGAATCTGATGCTGGCAATAAAGGGAGGGAGGGGAAGGGGCAAAAAAGAATTGAGATGTATTGTGTACATGTACCAATTCTCCACAATGAATATAGTCATTGTGTACCACAGACACATACTGATAGAAAGTTGGAGGCTAGCCTGGGCAACCAAAGGAGACCTAATCTCAAAATAAACAAGGTAAAAAGGGCTGAGGATGTTGCTTAGCGGATGTTGCTTGCGTACATGTTTCCGTCTTTGGTTTGACCCCAAGTACCAAAATCAATACAAAAAAACATACATATGAACACACTCAAAACTCCAGAGTTGATATAAACATTGCTTTAAGCTTAAAACTTTTCAGATTCAATAGAGGTCCCCCTAAAAGATCTCCGAGCTTCCTTTATTGGACTAGAAGAAACTTCTGAGAATTGAGAACTGTCATAAATTTTGTTGTTAAACATAAATACCCTCAAACATAAATAACTTCCTTAACTTAAACATAAATACTCTCTCCAGGGGAGTTTTAGGGCCTCAAGAAAGGCAAGAGGATAGCCTCGAGTTTGAGGCCAGCCTGGGCTATATAGTGAGTTAGGTCAAGGCCAGCCTGAACTACAGAGCAAGACCCTGTCTCAAACAAACAAAAACACCAAAAGAAAGCAGGCCATGGTGGTGCATGCCTGTAATCCAAACACTCTGGAAGGCTGCGGAACGCAAATTCGAGCCCATCCGGGGCAATTTAGCAACTTATCGAGAGGGACTCATAATAAAACAATAAATAAAAGGGCTGGGGCTGTAGTTCAGAGGTGCAGGTGCAGGCCCTGGGTTCAATCCCCAGTACTGAAAGACAGGACAAACGAACAAAAAAACCTCACTAAACATTAGCTCGTTAGCTCTTACTCGCGGCAACGGGAGACCCAAGGTCCAGCCCTTGTTCCTGGCTGTGTGGTCGCTCGGTTTCTCAGTCACTTCACCACCCCGACCCTCACACTTTCCTCATCTGTAAAAGGCAAGGGTGTCACCAAGTAAGCCTCAGTCCCTTCCATTTGGAGAATTCAGAATCAAAGGCACTCAAGGATCGTCAGTTCAGGTGACTCAGGGGTGAGGGTCGGGGCAGAGGTAGGGGACGGAGAGCCGGCGCTCTCGGCGGGGCAGCACACTCGGTGCCGGCCCTCTGCAGGCTCCCTGTCCGCGTCAGGAGCGCAGAGCAGACGCGAGGCCTCCCCGGGTCCCCACCCACCCCGCGCCCAGTCCCGCGGCCGGAGCAACCAGGCGACACCCAGCCCGGCGGCGCCCGCTCAGCCGGGCGGCGCCCGCTCAGCAGGGCGGGGCGGGCCGGGGCGGGCCGGGGCGGGCCGGGGCGGTCCCCGGAGCGCCGCCTCCAAGACGCGCTGACAAGACTCCCCGCGCGGTGCCGGGATCAGCTGCCGGGTTGGACCAACAGGAAGGGGTGGAGCTGCGGTGCAGCTGACTGCTTAGAGACCACAACAAGGGTAGTCGGGTGACCCCGGCGTACTCCAGGCCCTGAGGGCCAGCCACGGCCTAGGCCGGTGGGGACCGGAGGGGCGAACCGACCCTGTCCGGGAAGCCTGGCAATGCCCCCCAACGGAGCGTCGCCTGGCCAGGGCCACCCCAGCTCCGGCTGGGAGCAGGGACTGGAGAGACCCGCCGGGGCCCCCAGGCTGGGACGCCTGTGGCTTGGCCTGGGCCTGTTGCTGGTGCTGGCTCCCCCTGACCCCATGGTTCTCAGGGCCCCGGCTAGAGCTCATCCTCTTCCTGCCCAGAACTACCCTGGCAGGTTCAGGGGCATCATGCCCCAGCTCCGGGCTGCCTTTGGGTGGTGGAACCTCACTTGTCCAGTCTGCAAAGGCCTGTTCACCGCCATCGACTTTGGGCTGAAGGTGAGTGGCCGTAAACTGTGGGGGAGCGCTGGGGTGTAGGCCAGGACTAAGGTGAGGTGCTGGGGTCGAATGCATCCCAGACGCATTGCTTCAGGGAGTTTGCTTCCTTTGGGGGACACCTAGTGTCACCCACTGTGACCTTTGCCGAGAGTAGAGCAGTGTCTGAGAAAATCACTTCCTGAGCTGGCCACTGAGTTAAAGAGGAAGTGAAGGGCTGGCTGGTGCTACCTGAGTCACAGGGTGGTGTAGGAGGCTCTGAGGTCTCTTTATCCTGGTGCCACTGAGTCCAGCCCAGCCCCAGTTGGGAGAGGGAGGCCCAGTGGGTGGTTGCAGGGGTGGCCTGGTCCCCTGCTGTCTCTAACCTCTCACCTCTGGCTCCTCCCCCCACAGAAGGAGCCCAACGTGGAGCGGGTGGGCTCCATCGCCACCAAGCTGTGCAAGCTGCTGAAGATAGCACCCCCCAATGTGTGCCAGTCGGCTGTCCATCTTTTTGAAGATGACATGATCGAAGTATGGACTCACTCGGTGCTGAGCCCATCTGAGGCCTGTGGCTTGCTCCTGGGCTCCAGCTGTGGGAACTGGGACATCTTCTCATCCTGGAATATCACTCTGCCAGCAGTGCCAAAGCCGGCCCCCAAGCCACCCAGCCCCCCAGCCCCCGGTGCCCCCGTGAGCCGCATCCTCTTCCTCACTGACCTGCACTGGGATCATGATTATCTGGAGGGCACAGACCCTGACTGTGTGGACCCACTGTGCTGCCGCCAGGGCTCTGGCCGGGCCCCCACCCCGCCAGGTGCTGGGTATTGGGGCGAGTACAGCAAGTGTGACCTGCCGCTTCGGACCCTGGAGAGCATGTTGAGTGGGCTGGGCGTGGCCGGCCCTTTTGATATGGTGTACTGGACAGGAGACATCCCTGCCCACAATGTCTGGCAACAGTCTCGCAAGGATCAGCTGCGCGCCCTGAACACCATCACAGACCTCGTGAAGAAGTTCCTAGGCCCACTGCCGGTCTACCCTGCCGTGGGCAACCATGAGAGCACTCCCGTCAATAGCTTCCCTCCGCCCTTCATAAAGGGCAACCACTCCTCCAACTGGCTCTATGAGGCCATGGCCAAGACATGGGAGCCCTGGCTGCCTGCTGAAGCCCTTCAAACCCTCAGGTATTTTCATCAAAGGAACAGGGGTGGATGAAAAGGAAGGGGGGGCAGGGGAACTTGCTTGTTATCTCTGCCCAGGAGCCTGAGTCCTTGGCTCCTCACTAGCACTCCTTAACCTGACTCCACCTTCCTTTCTACCCTTATCTCCAGCCTTTCTGGACAGCTAGCAGCATGCCCTCCACACCCTGTATGCTCATGGTGGCCTCTAAAACAATCCCCCACCTTTCCCAACATACCCAAGCCTCCGTCATCTTCCCTCAGAAAGGCCTTTGCTTCTGCCTCTAGTTCACTTTTACCTCTCCCCTGATTGGAGCCTTCAACCCTCTGAGCCATCCTTCTCTGCTTTACAGGCCCCATAATTAGAGCTGACTGGTCTACAGCTAGAATGTGAGCTCCTCGATTGTGGGGATGACCTCATGGATGTCTGCCTAGCACAGGACGGGGCACGCAGGACCAGGATTACAAACGATGACCCCCCCGCCCCTGCTGTTCACTGTTTCAGAATTGGGGGATTCTATGCCCTTTCCCCACGCCCTGGCCTCCGCCTCATCTCTCTCAATATGAATTTTTGTTCCCGTGAGAACTTCTGGTTCTTGATCAACTCCACAGACCCTGCTGGACAGCTCCAGTGGCTCATCGGGGAGCTTCAGGCTGCTGAGGACCAAGGAGACAAAGTAGGGGAACCTGGTAGAATGGGTGCTGCCAGGGCTGGGGGAGAAGCAGGCTCCTGCCGAGCTGGAGCACCTGTGAGCAGAGGAGCTTCATTTTCCGGTGCTCCAACAACCCTGGCGTTCAGTTCATGGTCACCCCCAGAAGGCCTTTTACCCACCCCCCTCCATTATGGCCAGGACTGTCTTGATCCCTCCATGCCCTGCTAACCACTCAACTTTCCCCCAGGTGCATATCATTGGTCACATTCCCCCGGGGCACTGCCTGAAGAGCTGGAGCTGGAATTATTACCGAATTGTGTCCAGGTAGGAGGGGAAGGAAGGGATGAGAGGATGGAGAGTCTAAAGGTTGAAATTCTCTTGAGCATCTCACTGTCCCTGGGGAGAACAAGTTGAAGAAAGAGAAACTCCCCAGATCTCTACCTCCCCCTCCCTAGAATCTTCTGAATAGAGTTCATGTCTTCTGGCCAGGTATGAGAACACGCTGGCTGGTCAGTTCTTCGGCCACACACATGTGGATGAGTTTGAGATCTTTTATGATGAGGAGACTCTGAACCGGCCTCTGTCTGTAGCTTTCCTGGCACCCAGCGCTACCACCTACATTGGCCTTAACCCTGGTGAGTGAGGTAGAAGAGTCCCCTCACCTGGGGTGGCTGGGACAGAGCAGGTGGGAGCCAAGGCCAGTAGGCCAGCCTACACGTGCGGCCCTCCCTGGAGTTGCCTTTGTTCCTGTCCCCTCCAGTCAGCCTTCCTTCCTTGCAGGTTACCGGGTCTACCAAATCGATGGAAACTACCCTGGGAGCTCTCACGTGGTCCTGGACCATGAGACCTACATCCTGAACCTGACCCAGGCAAATGTGCGAGGAGCCACGCCGCACTGGCAGCGCCTCTACAGGGCTCGAGAAACCTATGGGCTGCCCGACGCGCTGCCTGCCGCCTGGCACAACCTGGTATACCGCATGCGGGACGACGTGCGGCTATTCCAGATCTTCTGGTTTCTCTACCATAAAGGCCACCCACCCTCGGAGCCCTGCGGCACGCCCTGCCGGCTCGCCGTTCTGTGCGCCCAGCTCTCCGCCCGCGCTGACAGCCCTGCTCTCTGCCGCCACCTGGTGCCCAGAGAGTCTCTCCCGGAGGTCCAGCGCTTGTCGCCAAGGCCCCTATTCTGCTAGGACCTCAGAGCCCAGAGTAGCAATGCTCATGTCCTAGGAAAGCAGCAAAAGCGCACCGTGATGCTGCGATCCAACCAGGGAATAACATCATGTGGAAGAGCCCATCCTCAGGCCCCAAGTCTGCAGGAAAACAGGACCTTCCTTCTTGGAGCCAGGCTGGCTGCATTTGGGAGAGGGCTTGGTGCTCTGTGCCCGGGACAGAGACTGCTGTCCTCTCACAGCCATGGAGTTGAGGCTGAAGTGCCCTGGACAGCCAGACAGGAGCTGTCGCCGAGGTCAATGCTGCTGCTACCTGATCTGCCAGGCTGATAAAATAAAGATAAGAGACTTGGACTCCAGACCCCTCTGTGACTGTTCTGGTTTCTTCTTTCCAAGCAGGCAGGGCAAAGGCACCTTGGGAGCAAGATCATAGTGGAGGGATTGGTACGGGGGTACTGGTGTGGTACAGGCACGGGCAGGCACACGGCAGCGAGACAGGCTTTATTAGTGATATCAGTACAGCGGAGGTGCCCGCAGAGCAGGGGAGAGGGGACCCATGCCTAGACTAGTCCTGTCCTCCTCCTGACCTTCTGGGCCTTTTGAGGATGGGGCCTGGCTCAGACCAGTTTCTCCTGCTCTACCCAAACACTGAGGATGGAGAGCCTGGGGCTGGCCTTGCTTCTTGCTCCTCTTGTCATTAATCCAGTGCTATCGCTCCCTCGATGGCATCAGCTCTCTCCCCCAGCCCCTAGGCAGGGAACCTCAGCTCCTAAGGAGGGGTAGCTTGGGAGACCTGAGGCCTAGGAACAGCATCAGTGCCCCTTCCTGCCCTACACCCCTGAGTTCCCTGGGGCTCTACACAAGCAGGAGGGGGGAGGAGGGGCTTCTTCACGGGGTCTGAGCCCCCAGACGTTTGGGCTTGAGGGAGCCCCACAGCGACTGAACACCCCTGCGCACCGTCCACCCTACACGCCTGGCTACGGATTCCGCAGGGGGTGCTGGGAGGCAGGAGGTGGAGGTCTGGGAGCGGGCATCCAGACACTTCTGGTAGCGGAGCTGCAGAGGCAGATGGGGCAGTCACTCTCCACCCTGCCCCATGCGAGGTCATGCCACCACCCCACTGCCCTACCCACTTACCATGCACGCAGCCTGCACGGCCTCAGAGAGGCTGGCGGCATTGGGCTCACACCAGAACATGTGGCAGAAGAAGGTGGCTGGGCCGGCAGCCATGATGAATGCAAACGTGTGGACATCTCTGCCCACAGCCAGGAAGGAGAGGAAGCGCACCCGACACTCCCCCAGCAGCGCCTCTGTCTGAAGGGAAGGAGCCCAGTTAGAAAGGAACACTCCCCAGCCCTCTGTGTTCGCCCAGCGCATGTGCATTTTATTGGCAGCTCTTCCCTTGGCCCTAGATTCTCCTCCATGGCAAGACACAACCAGGCCTTCTACCCCAGCTCCTTACCTGCTGGTGCGCAATGGTGAGGGTGGCAGGGGCCACGCTGACATGACTTGGGGTCCACTGCTCACGGCTTCTGGAGGACAGGACTGACTCTAGGGCCCCGTTAATCACGTCTACCCCTAGAAGACACAAACACGGCACCAGTAAAGATGGGGGAGAGGCTCAGCTCTGCCCAGACTCAGGGCATTGCTCCCCCCCCTCACCAGCCTACAGCCTTGAGGATGGCGCTGACCGGCCAGGTACCTCTTCCTGGGCACTGTCCTCCGTTTCTGTGGCGTGATACTCTTCCTCTGCCTTGGATCCTAGGTTTGGTCTCCTTCGCTGCCTCTGCCCCTTCTTCCACCATCCTAAGCTGACCGACCCCCAAAGCTCAACTCCCCATCTCTTGCTGTTCGGCACTCACCCACACTCAGACTCTAGACTGGTTCATATTGTGACAATGACTCCCAAATCAGCCGACTTTTCTTTCTTTTTAACATACCCGTGTACTCTGTGGCACTTTGTGGGTCTTTATTACCATTTCATAGATGAGGAAACTGAACCTTAGAGAGACTAGATAATATGGTTTAGTTTACATTGACGAATAAAGATGTGCCTTTCCATCACCCCCTTTCTATTACAGTCTTAGTTTTCAGAACTAGAAGTGTTTTAAAATTTTAGCTTTACTCCAAAAATTCTGTAATGTGCTCAATGACCAAAGAACCCAAGGAGTTTGGCTTCTAAGTAAATTGGCTTTCTGTCAAACCACAGTGATCTTCTCTGCCTCAGACTGCTTTATACACTAGTACTCGTGCATCCCACTTTTGCTTGATATCAGCAGAGAAGCAGCACAGCTCGGCAGAGATGTGGACTCTGGTCCCCTCTGTGTGCACGAGCGCGTTATGAGTGTCTGTGCCTTCAGTGTCAGCACAAGGGCACACGCCTCTGGGGTCCATTTCCAGACCTAGGAGGCCATGTGGCACCTTTGTGGACTTAGGAGAAGCAGAGGACAAACGTCTTCCTCGAAAGTCTCTCCCCACCTTGGCCTTGTGCATCTTACTTCTGGCTGGATCAAGGCCAGACTTCCAGTGTTCCCAACACTGGCCTCGTCTAAGCTGTCAAGCTTCATGATTTTCCTGCTCTCTGAGCTTCAAATGATTTTTATGTCCCTTACTAACATCTAATCTTAGCAAATGGCTGGCCAGGCAGATGGGGAATACAAAGCAAGAGATGAACCCCCATGGGACAGGCTGGGACTGATGGAGAGGCTGCTGTCTGGGGTGCCCACCCCTCTCTCTGGCTGAGAAACTCAGATTCTCATCCTCAGGGCTTGCCTGGGAAGGCTTCTCCAATGAGACAACTCTTACCACAGTATCTTCTAACTGTTCCAAGTCCTTTTTCCACATTGGACTGTGGCCATCTTAAGGACAGAGGCCAATACTTCATTTAAGTTTATGTCCCCAGTTCTGACACAGGGCTTATGTGCGGAAGGAAGTAGACATATGAGTAAGTCACCCTCAGGGCAGCCTGGGAAAGTGTAGAAACTGAGAAAACCAAGGCCACGGGAGGGTGACAACACAGGCAGGAGTGGAGGGGCAAAGTCATATTGCAGAGCATCTCAAAGGCAAGGGAGAGGGGTGCAATGTCGCCAGGGCAGTAGGAAATCTCAGAGTTCACTGGGGTAGGAGAGGCATCAAAATCAAACTGCTGAATATGCAGATGACTGTGGGGTGGAGCCTGACCTCAGAGTCTGGGAGCAAAGTGCCAAAAACAATGAAACGACGTGGTCTGGAAAAAGGCTGTCAGATTTGGTAACAACTCAGGACTAAACCTACACCCTCACTACCACCTGCCTCCCAATTTCCTTATCCTGTTATGCTTTTTATTTCTTTTCAGGTAAGTTGTTGCTTTCTAACATTCTACATAATTTATTCATTTTATTATCTCTCTTTGATAGAATGTAAGCTACTTGAAGACAGGAACTTTTATTACTTTTGCTCATTAACAATGCTTGGCATAAGTCAGGTACTCAGTAATCATTTGCTGAATGAATGAAGGGTGAAGGAGTGAAGGATTAAGGAATGAATACTGCGGCCTCCAGAGATGCAATGTTTAAAAAGGAGCATGCAAAGAACAGGAAGTGAGCACAATCATGGGGCTGACGGGACAGTCACAGGTGCAGGTGGCCAACTTAGCATTGTGAAGACCTGAGGAAGGTGGCAGGTGAAAAAGGGACAGATGTGGGAGTGGAGCTGACAACTGGAAGAGCCAGCAAGGGTTTAGAAGCTGAGCGAGGAGAGGAGCAGAGGCAAAGGTACAGGGTCAGCTAAGCCTCTTTTGGTTCCCTGAACTCGTTTTTCCCACCTCCAGCTCTAAGTCTTTGGCGGGGCCACTTGACTCTAACGAGAATGCTCAGTCCTCTCTGTAAATCCAAGCCTTCCTTCCCAACCTCTGCCTTGTCAAAGAAGGGTTCCCTCTTTGAACGTAAGATGTTTTTGTTGTTTTTATGGAAGCCCTGCACTAAGCTACATCCCAAGCCCTCTTTATTTTTTGAGACAGGTCTCTAAATTGTACAGGCTAGCCTTGAACTCACAACATTCCTGCCTCAAGCCAGATGTAGTGGCACACACCTATAGTCCTAGTACTTAGGAGGCTGAGGCATGAGTTCAAGGCCAGCCTGCACTACACAGCAAGACCCTGTCTCCAAAAAACAAAAAACAAAACCCCCCAATATTCCAGCCTCAGCCTCCTCCATGCTCAGCTTGAATGTAAGGTTTTGGTTATGAAAATCGGCATGGTTTAGCTGGGTGTGGTGATGCATGCCTGTAATCCTAGTACTTTGGGAGGCTGAGGCAAGATCTCAAATTCAAACTTAGCAAGACTATGTCTCAAAATTAAAAATAAAGAGGGCTGGGGGCCAGGGATTTAGCTCAGTGGTTCCGGCGCCTGCCTCACAAGCACAAGGTCCCAAGCTCCATCCCCGGTTCAAAGAAAAAAAAAAATGAACAGGGCTGGGATACAGCTCAGTGCAAAGACCCTGGCTTAATATGAGGTGTGCATACCCCACTCCCCACTTCCAAGAAAAAAAAATCAGCATGGTTTGAAGGGAAGGGCAGAGAACAGATGACCAGGACTTGAGTCCTACTTCTATTATTTCTGGCTCTGTAGGCCGGGGCATAATCATCCCTTCCTACATTTGCTTATTCATTCACCTGTTGCATTCTTCCTTGGTGCCTTTCTGCATGACCCTTGGCCACTCCTCCAAGCAGTCTCTCCTTTCTTCCACCCCACTCCTACTCTCACTGTCCAGAGAGCTGTCAGCCTCCCCATCTACTCGTGTCGAAGGGCCCCAAGGCTAGGCCTAGCGCTGCCTCCCTTCTCCCTTCAGGCTGCCCACCTTCTGGGCCAAGCTACCTCCTCCCATGACTCTACACAGCCCATGATGCCCACATTTCAGTCCCCAACCCAGACCTCTGCTCTCAGCTCCAGACCCATGTGCCTCACTGCCAACTTGTCTTGGCCATGCAGCTTCCGAAAAGCCAACTCAAACTCAGCATGTCCCAAACTGAACTCACAACACCCACATCCGGACTAGCTTCTCCCAGCATCTGCTCTCTAGAGAATGGCACTCTCCAGTCAGATCCCAAAGCTAGGAACCCAGAAGGGACTCCTATGCATGCGTCTCATCCTGCAATCAGCCAGTCAGCAGGGCGCATTGATTTTAGTGCCTAAGCATCTCTGAATGCACACTCCTCTTCAGCCCTACCCCTAAGACACCCTCGCTACCGGGTGTGACATCTGCTCAGGTCAAGTGCACTCCCACAACCTCCCAAGGGTACTCTGCCATGGATAAGGGTGCCCCAAAGGGCCATGTGTGGGAGGTCTGCTCTCCAGCCTACGGAGCTGCTGGGGGCTGTGGAACCTTGAAGAAGCAGGCCTCACTGGGGGTCCTCATGTGACTGGGGGTGCCTGTGAAGGGCCCTTTCCTCTTTTTGCTCCCTGACCACGACCTGAGGGCTTCTGCTCTGCCTTGTCCTCCCCCCACAATGGCTGCTTTGCCTAAACGAAAAGACTGGACCTGAAACCATGAGCCAAATAAATCTTCACTCTGTAAGTTGATTATCTCAGGTATAAGGGAAAGGTGACTTCCTCGGCACACTTAGGCTGAAGACCAAATCGTGAACCTCGCCTGCAAGGCCACTTGCAGTCTGACCAGTGCCCAGCTCTCAGCACTGCTAGCAAGAAATCTCAGTGTTTCCCAATGGCACCCCCACTCTGGACCTTCACACACACTTTTTTTTTTAGGGGGCTGGGGTTGAGACAGGGTCTTGCTGTGTAATTCAGGATGGACTTGGTCCCACAGTGTGTAGCTCAGGCTGGTCTCAAACTAGAAATCCTCCTGCCTCAGGCTCCTGGGTGCAGGGATTACAGGCATGTGCCACCATGCCCAGTGCATACATACACATACACACACACTCATTCGGCCTGGAACAGTTCTTCTCTACCTTGCTCCTGTCTCCATCCCATTTTACCACATTAGCTCCTATTCATATTTTTTAACTCAGTTTAAATGTCACTTTCACAGGGAAGTCTTTCCTGGTCCTCGAGACAGGCCTGTCAAGAATTCATGATATAACGAAGTGTAACAAGTGCTGATTACGCTCATTGCTTCCTTCTCTAGACACTCACGGCCCAAGTTGGGGCTGTAATACTGAACCCAGCTCCAGGGTGCTGCCAGATACCTCCATTCGCCTAACTCCTGCCTCCCAAACCCACCACAGCTTTTCCACAGGGTGCAGGGGTGAGCTCTCCCACTGCGCCTGGCTCTGCACCAGTCGCAAGGCAGTGTGCCATGAAGATAGGCTGACTGCTTCTACAGGCAGGGCACAGGGTTCAGCTGGGACAGAGATACGGGAAAGTGGGGTGCATTCTGAGGAGCAGGGCGACACCAAGCATGAGGAAGGTCTGGCAGAAGAGCACTGGAAGGAGAAGGAGGGGTAGAGCGCTAGGAACAAGGTGGCATCCTCGGGCAAAGAAGACACACTTACCAACAGGTTTAGCAACACGCACATTCCCCAGGTAATAGACTTGGAACTTCTGTACCAACTCATTCTTGGGTGCAGGAAATTCCACTGTGGGAAGGAGAGGAGGGTCAGGTGCAGTGGCAGATCTTGCTTACTCCTTGCCTCCAACACCAGTGCATGGCAGGGCATCACCCAACCAACCAAGGCCCTTCCTGAACTCCTTCCCCACCTCCCTTTAACCAAAGTCCCTGCACTTATGTGATCCAAAGTATCCAGTCTCCACCTGGCCAACAGTCTATCGTGTGTGTTTAGGAGCTCCTGCCTCTTCTTGGGTCACCCCGCCTTTGCCAACAAAACCGACACTGACCTTGGAAAGGGACATCCACGAGTTTAGAGTGGTCCAGGGAGAGTCCATTCACCAAGCAGCGAGCATTGCGCCGTTCAGCCATGATCTGAGGAAGGAAAGAATGGAGGGGAGAGGGAGTCGATTAGAGCTTCTTCGCCTTAGAGCCCCTCACCCCCATTCAGTGACCACCCACACCCTGTAGAGCAAAGGTGGAAGCTAGTCCAGGGAGTGGAAGGGACAATGCCTTAGAGCAGATCTCATGCAGGCTGGTGGCGATGTTCTTGGCAGGTGCCTCACAGCGAAACACGTGGCACTTGAGCATCTGGGTCAGCTTATCACGAGCTACGTAGGCAAAGTCCCTGTTGGGGGAGGGGCACCTCAGTGTCTTCTGGAGCCAACAGACACCGAGCCTGGCCACCACCCCACCCACATCCTCCCTGCCCATCTCAGTTCCTCCAAGTTTCTGTCCTTGGACGGTGTCCTATAAATGCTGCCTTCTGGAGGGAGGGTAGACAGGCAAGCATGCTGAGGTGGGGGATAATGGTCCAGCACACCGGGCGGGAAGGGCCAGGGCAGAATAGGGGAGCTTGGGCACTTTCAGGTATCGGGTCCAGGAGTGGGAGTGGCCTCGGTCAAGGCAGATAGGCATAGTACCTCTCTCTGGGTCCGGCAGCACAAGAGAGGCAAAGAACACAGTTAGGGAGGAGGACTCTGACTGCTGCGAGAGCGCCCGCCCTAGAATCCCAGGCCCTGTCCCCACCTTCCACTGTCCCGCCCGACGCCCCACACTCGAATGCTGACGATGGGCTGGGTGTGCAGCAGTGCCTGGCTCTGTGGCTCCACCAGCTTCAGCGACTCATCTTCCAGTTGCAACAGCAGATCCTTTCCCTGCAGGCCCAGGAAGCAGACTCTCAGTGGCACCCCAGCTGGGAAGGTGGCTCACAATGCCCCACACACCCACAGTATCGCCACCTCACAGGCCAGGCCCTCACCTCTCCCCAGCCCCCAGACATGGGGTCATGCAGATTATTTTTATGGTAGGAGAGCTGACGGATGCAATTGTTGACGGCCACACTGCTGCGTCCTGGGGCCAGCTCCTCCTCAGTCATCTCTACCCAGCCTAGGGAGCGCACGGCGAAACACTGCCAGACACAGAAGAGGGGTGAGGGGAAAGGGTCTGAGCTGAAACTGGAGGCGCCTTGGGCGCCAGACACAGGGGAGCTTCTGACTCAGTACGAAGGCCTGCACTGTGACTGAGAAGCTCCGCAGACAGGACAGGGTCAGGGAGAGGCAGGCCTCAGGGGAGACCACTGCTCGTACAAGGAAGCATGGAACCAAGCCTGGAAGGGTCCCAAGCAGGCCACTGGGCTGGCTGAGTCAAAAACTGAAGAGTGTCCAGCTCAGATAAAGGGCTCCACGATGAGACTGGAAGAACCCCTAGTCAGGACCTAGGAGGCTCACTGACCTCAGACACCCCCAGAGTACAGCATGAGGGGCTGTCCTGCACATAAGGGCCCCAGCCTGCACATTGGGTGTTGGTTGTGAACACACCTTGATCCCTGGGTTGGCATTCCGTGGAGGCAGCTTCTCCTCCTCTTGGGGCAATGGCTCTGGACTGAAGGCAATGGTAACACTTGACACAGTCCCCCCATGTGTGGAGGTGCCCCAAAGCCCCTTCCAAACAGATCCATCCCACCGCTAGCCCACTGCATCTAGTGACTCACCTGAGGCTCTGAGTTGGAAAGGGCAATGCCCCCTCCTCAGGCTCCTTTAGTCCCAGCTCCATCGAAGCTTCCTCCCTGGGTTCATCCTTGACAAAGGGATTGAGAAATCAGAACTGAACTGATGCCCTTCTCCAGCTATCCTGATGGTCAAGAAGAGCCCCTCACCCACCTTCCAAAACTCTCCATCCTCAAAGCCTTCTCCATGGGTAAAGCCTGTCCAGGTGAGCTGGGAGGAGGGACAGGAGCAGTAAGTGGTTGTTTCATCCTGCCCCAGCAGCGCACGCGCATGCGCACACACACACACACACACACACACACACACACACACACACACACGGTCAAGAAACTATGGGCCAGTGAGCCTCACCTGGGACTCCTCTTGGGGGCTGCTCCCCTGTGAGGGAGAGGCCCTGCCAGGGGGCTCCCACTGGGTGGTCCCTGTCGGGATATGCCAGTAGTAGGTCCCTGAGGTGTCCTGGACCCTCATCCATCCAGCTGGCAGATCGGAATCCGTCTCGAAGGCGTTGGGGTTCCAGAAGGAATCTGCTAGGTGGGAGGTTTGGTGATGGTGAGCTCACCCACACAAGCAGACAGCAGATTCCCATGCCCAGTCCCCTCCCTGGGACCCCATGGTTGAGGAGGAGTAGGGGAAGGGCTGTACACAGCATGGTTTCTGCTTCCTTCTAGAGCTATGGTCTGATGTCGCTACATGCAGAGCTGCCAGCAGGGAACATGGCTCAGGTCTCCTTCTGGGCCCTGCTACTGTCTAATGTGGCCACATGGAGGGGAGGGAGGAAGCAGGGAGGAAAAAAGGAAGGGAGAGAGGGGAAGTTGGGTGGCCCTAATTAACATCTGCTCATAACCTCATATATCCATATCTCAGGGTATACAAAGCTATGCATGCTCAGCAGCTTCTGAACACAAAGGTGAGTGCACAGACATATAATATATGCAAGCTCTACCACACACCTGTGCAGACACAAACACAAAGGTGTGCAACATACAGAAAATGCCAGATATTACATACAGGTGCACATGTGAGTGGGGCAAACACATACCAACTTTGGTCACATACTCATGCACAGGTGCATACACATGTAGCTATATATAACAGTCCTGGGACACAGGTGTGCAGATACCACACCACCGTGCCCCCCAACACATGTATGGGTACCACACAAAAAGGTGGCCATACACCAGACACAACATATGTCAACCCCTGCTACCACACTCACACTCGGACCCCTGACACACACACATGCAAACAAACATGTCATGCACACACCACTTACACACATACAGTGTATCTGGGACATCACCCTTCCATCCCCGTCACCCAGCTCATGCATCCTCTGTCTCTGCTGTCCCTGCCAGCCCCACCCCACAGCATGCCGAGCCCTTCACTGCCCCTCACCTGGGCTGCTGTCCTGCAGGACGATGGCCAGGAAGAAGTCCTGGGAGAACATGGCGCGCATTCCTGGCCCCTCCTGCCTCCACCCTCCCTCCTCACAGCCCCTCCAGCCCAGCCAGCTGGGCTCACAGCCTGGTGCTGGGCTGCAGAGAAAAGCTCATTCCGCCCCCTTCTCACCAGGGCAGAGCGTCTGCCAGGCAAGATCCTCCCCCACCCAGAACTCACTAGGGAGGGGCCAAGACCATCATACTAGGGAACCTCCTTGGGGTGAGGATTCCAGGAGGAGAGGGCTCAGGAGACCCCACTATTCCTGCTCACCTCTTCTTTACCCTGGCTCCCTTCCCCATCACAAATCTCCACCCACCCTCCTTTGGTCACTTCAGTGCCTCAGTCAAGCCCATTCTTAGGAACACCAGGAGGCTCAGCCTCTCAGGAATACCCCAGCCACCTGAGGCCCTGCAGAATCTATAGCTCCAAGCATAAACAGGGTGTGGCTTCAAGGCCTTTAGGGATCCCTCTCCGGTCTAGAACTTGCCCAGCAATTTGAACCCAAGGGTTAGTCCTTGATGGCTGGGGCCCTAGCAAGCTTGAGGTAGGGCTTGGGGAAGCACCCCCCCTCACCTGCCAGGGCCCAGCTAGGCTGCAGCGTCTCCTCGGCAACCGCCGCACCAGGACCAGGACCGGCTGAGAGCGCCCAGATTGCTGACGTGCTCCCCGTTACCAGGGAAACCAGGAATCCTGACTGGTCCAAGAGGCAGCACTGAGGGACAGGCAGTCTCAAGATCCAGGCTGCTGGGCAACAAGGCACAGGGCTGGCCACTCCCAGGCCCTGGGAGTGGGCGTGGTTACGCCAAGGTGTCTGCACACCTGGTAGGGGTTATTCAGGCAAGATGCCTCGCCATCAGCTTACAAATGAGGCAGGTCTGCAGACACCCAGTGAGCTCTTCTTGCCCACCCACCCACCTTCTAGGCAGCCACCACTGACCCTCCAACCATTCCTTCCCCCACATCAGGCCCTGACACAGTCAAGGCTCAGCTCTTCCCCCAGAGAACCTCTGCTGCCCTCAGAGCTCTCTTGTTACAACCTTCCAGGAACACCAGCACCCACAGCCCCATCCGCCACAGCCACAGCCTGCTTCCCAGAGGGTCAGACACTTCTGGAATCTGGGGACCAGTTCACCATCTCCTGACTGAGTCACACACACCAATCCATCTGCCATCCCTGTAAGCCTGTGCCTTCCTGCTTCAAAGAGCTTCTTCCTTCCGATCTGTCCTGGAGGGGCAGCTTCTCCCCCACTAACCATCTGGGAGGCCCTTCTGGAGCCTGGCACCTCTCCCTCCAAGCACAGTGCACCTGGGGCTTTTGCTTCCACACACATGCATTTATTCCAGAATGTACATTCTCATTCCTGCATCAACTCATGCAGACACTCACACATGAATCCAAATGTTCATGCATGCTTCCTTCCTTCCTTCCTTCATCCACAGATGCCATAGGTGTACTCCTTTCCATCTCACATCACTAACATACTCCAGACCACTAGTTCTTTTTTTTTTTAAACCTAGATCATTGCAACAACCTCATGAGCTCCTCACGAGGGGGTATCCTCCTTCCTATCTAGTCTCCTCTAATCTGGGCTGTACATACAGCCTGAATGATTCTTATGAGATGATAAACTAATCAAGAAGCTCTCTAGGTTAATACTCTGTTACATCATTGCTCTCAGAACAAAACCATATCCCTGCATAGATTTTTATATACTGTTTATCCTCTTCTAGCCGTGCCTCTGTCTTACCTCTGACCAGACTCCAGTCCCCCCACTCTCTTCTTGGGACAGGCCCCTCATCCTCTCCCAAGCCCAGCCTCCCTCTTCTTTATATTCACCTAATTACTACACACTCTTCCTTTCAGATATCAGTGTAAAGGTCACTTCTTGAAGCTGACCTACTCCCCTTTCCCCCTCTACACACATAAGCAAGGAAGGCATCCATTATACACCTCCCCTAAGTGCCCCGAGGTCATCATACTGATTATAACTATCTATTTCGGTCTCCCACTAGACTGTGAATGCCAAGAGAGTAAGAACATCTTTGCCCTGTAGTATGCATTACAGTACTTAGGACAAGGCTTGATGCAGAGTATAAACCCAACAGGTAGTAAAGTTCATTCATCTATTAACTTAATTCACGCATTTATTCATTTATGCATTCAATCAACAATTTTGTGGAGATCCTAGAACTGGAAAGAGGAAGCGATTTTTGCTCAATCCAAACCTCCTTCCTACAGGAGCACAAACCTCCTCTGTGGCCTTCACAGTCATAGCAAAACAGTCATGAAAGAGTTCGAAATGCTAAGTCCCTTCTCAGGCTGGCCCCAGACCCGACCCTTAACACCCAGAGTCTCCACCCCTGCATCACCCATGAGACTCCTGCAACCTTGCTGAGAACACTGCCTGAGCCCAGCCCACCCTTTCCAGTTCTTTAGCCTTTCTACCCTCTGCTCTCAGAGGTGCATAAGTAGAGCCACCAGTGACCACCGAAGGAGTCACTAACTGACCAGGACTCACAGTCCTAGGATTGGAAGCTAGCCATCTGCAACCTGCAAACTGATGCCAGCCTCAGATAGACTGTGTGGCCTGCACACTGCTTTTGACGAAATAGTTAGTTAACATTTTTTTTAAACCCAGGGTCTTGCTATGTACTTCAGGCTGGCTTTGCATTCACTATGTAGACCAAAGTGGCCTCAAACTTGTGGCAATCCTCCTGCCCCAGCCTCCCAAGTGCTGAGATTACAGTACGTGCCACAACATTCAGCCAGTTGTTAACATTCAGAAATTGGGATATTTTGCATCGATATATTTAAGTTCCCCTTGAATTGCTCAGTTAAGACTACATACCCCTCGCATCCCTATAAATAACCAGCTAGAATGAAAAATAGAGGCTCTTCCCCTTAAAGGGTGGAAGCAATGAGTATCAAAGGCCACAAAAAAAGGAGCAAGTCATCTTTCCCTTCAGTAGAAGTTCTCAGTACCACTTATGTGTTCTTGTTAAACAAAACTCTGAAGTCTGAATCTGACCAAGGCTCTAGAACTGTCTACTAATTTACAGAGAAATGAGGGGAAGAGAAACATGTTAAATACCAGCATAGGGAGAGAGTCTAAAAATCCAGAGCATGGAAAACCCAAGGCAGACAACACAGTTTCTTCAGTTAAGATGATATAGATAGATAGATAGATAGATAGACAGATAGACAGACAGACAAAAAATAATTTGTAGATCAAAAGAAACTTTAAGAAACCTATCAATGTGGACCTATTTGGATATTGACTCACCCACTCTGAACTTTTAAAAGGCAACTAGGGGCTGGATGCGCTGGCACAAACATGTAATCCCAGCACTTGGGAGGCTGAGGCAGGAGGAATGAGATAAGTTCAAGGCCAGCCTGGGCTACATAGTGAGTTTGAGGCCAGCCTGAACTACATAGCAAGACCCCGTCTCAAAGAAACAAAAAACAAAAGGCAACTAGTGGAATATAAACTCGGTATTTGACTGGGTATTTGATGATATCAAGGAATGCTCAATTTTTATAAGAATGATAATGGAATTGTGGGGGTTTTTTAAAGAGTTTTTTCTTTCAGATATGGACACATAAAAATTTACAGATGAGGGCCGGGGATTTAGCTCAGTGGTTATGCCGCCTGTCTCGCAAGCGCAAGGACCCGAGTTCGATCCCCGGTACCAAAAAAAAAAAAAATTTACAGATGAAAGTATTTGCTTAAAAATAATCTAGGCTGGGGCCCAGAAGTGGGTGAAGGCATAGATGCAGCAAAATCAGTTATGTATTAATAATGACTGAAATTGGGTCACAGGGAAGTCAGGCTCATTAGTCTATTATCTCTACTTTTGTATATGCTTGTAAATGTCTATAATAAGTTTTTCAAAGGAGGCTGCTGTGCAGCTCTAGGCTCATCTGAATTGCATGCTCCCTGCAAAGATTCAAAGTTTGGGGTCTAGTTATGATTTTCATCGCCTGATGAGGATGGGGTGTGTGTGCCTGGAATCAACTCAAGGGCCCCATGCATGCTGGGCTAGGCAAGCTCTCTATCACTGTGCTCCCCTAATCCTTGCTTATACTCATCCAAAGAACCTCTGGATTGTGGTTAAAGCTCATCATCTCTGCTCTTAAACTCTATCTGTACCTCTATATAACAAGCAAATATGGAAACTCAGCTTATTTAAATGAAATACTTTTAATGTCCAATCCTTGTAGTCCTAATATCTAATGCCCTTCCACAAAGAAGCATATGTTAATTCTTCCTTTGTTCCCTAACTTTTAGTCAATATTTTGACAATACTGCAGCCTTGCAATGGCCAGAAGGCGCCCTGCATGGGGCATGTGGATCTTAAGCACAAAACACTTCTAGTCTTTCCAAACAGACCTGTGGGGAGGTGCTAGCTGCTCCCTCCAAAACTGGCCTATGTTAAAACAAGCAGGGCACGGGATTTAGCTCAGTGGTTTCACTACCTGCTGCGCAAGCACAAGGACCCGAGTTTGATCCCCAGTACAAAAAAAAAAAAAACAAGCAGAAGGTCCCAAATGCACAGATGCCCTTATGACAATGTAACATGGAGCTGAGACTCAGATCTGGCTTAGGTCTCAGTTCTACCATGATCCATGAAGGTCTGAGGCCCTCAGAAAAATCTCTCTAGGTTTCTTTTTCATTATCTGTAATATGGGCAAAATGACAGCATCTACTTTGGGGCAAGGGGGCAGTTAAGTGCCCAATAAACCCACTAATCCACATATCAACCATGAGAGCATGCATAACACACAGATCCATCCATTGAAGCACACATGATGGACAGATCTACCAATAAGTCCAAGCACTCTGAATGAAAAAGCTTGGGCATGGCCTGCTGCGAATTAAGGACACAGGCTCTCTCCTCATGTCCAGGCTGGCCTTGGCCACAGCATGGAGAAGCCTGACCTCTGACCCCATGACCTCCCACATTCCCATCCCAAGCTCCACAAGGTACCTGTTTCCTCCGGGGAGCCATAGGAGGGACTGCCCTGGGATAAGGTAGCCCAGCTTGAGTCCTCATCACTGGCTGCACTGTTCCGCATGCCAAATAGGAGGCTGGCACTCTTGCTATGTTCCCGAGGGCCATCTGTAAGAGGCTGGGGCCCAGCAGGGACCTCCACACTCTCCAGGGGCTCAGGTAGCCCGGGGGGGGAAGACAAGTCCTCTTCCTCCTCGTCATCCTCATCTTCATCATCATCCTCAGCCTCCCCTGCCGCCTTCTCCTCTCCCTCATCTGGCCCATGCTCTTGGGTGCTGATGATCAGGCCAGGTCCTCGAAGGCCTCGGTTAGCTGCATTTCGGGCCGAGAGCTCCAGCTCAGAGTATAGATGCATCAGACCTTTGGGGCCCAAGGGTGCTGTTTCAGGATCCTGGCTGGCCTCCTCCGCCAGGGTCAAGGTCACGTTGCGGTTCTGGTCACGGTGGGCTGTGGCAGCCCGCCGGAGCTGGTTCTGGCCCTCCTTTAGCCACTTGGCGTTGGCAGGGCCTGGCTCAGGCCCACCACCGTCCCCGATGGCATTACACAGGTCCTTGGGTCCCACAGCTGTGGCCTGCAGCTTGGCGTTGAGCAGCTGGTTGTGAGCAGCGTGCAAGGGCAGGGGTAGGCTCAGTGCAGGGCCTCCGTGGCTGTTGGCATTAATGGCCGACTGGCTCAGTGACGATGGAACAGACATGGCCTTGGCAGATCCTGTGGAGTGGGAAGGGGAGACCTTGTTGAGCCTGTGGGCAGGACAGCTGCACCAGAGCTTCTGCCCCAGGCCTGTGCCCGGCCCCTCATCTCCCCACACTCAGTGGGCCAGCACGCGCTGCTCTGTGCCCTGTGAACTGTTCCCTCAGAATGACTGAGCTCAATTCCGTCTTTGCACCATCAAGGCTATGCCCACATCTATAGCCCAGCCCAGCCCCAAACTCTCCAGCCCTAAGCTTTTCAGGACAATGCAGCCCTCACCCGCTCTGCCTTCACTACCACCAGCAGAGCCTCTGCACAATGGCTCTCTGTGCATTCCTACCGCCCCACCCTGCTCATCTGATCAGGGCTTACTGTACCAGGGGCACAGCTGGGATGGACTGGCTCATGCTTTATGAATACTGGACACTGATTGTCCCTTTCCTCCTGTCACACTGTCTCCAGAGCCACAGCGCTGTGAGCTCCCCAGGCTGTGTTTGCATCAAATATCACTGAGGTCAACCAGCCCACAAGCCCATCCTACATGAGGGACTGTGTGACAGAGACAGGACACAGCAGACCCCCAGGGCACGGCACAGGAAGACTGGTCACACAGGAAGGGCCAGCTCCAACTCGGCTCCTGTTATGGCTTTCAACACGTGCCCCCAAAGCCTCATGAGGTCTTAGGTGGGGCTTTTTCAGAGATGGCTGAATCTAGAGTGTCCGATTGGATTCACAGTGCAATGCTAGGCCTGAGGTCATTAGGATAAGGGTATGAGCACTGTCCGCCCTAAGTAGTCTGGATAAGATAAAAGGGGGAGAAAGATGCTGTTCATGTCCCTTGTTTTTGCTGCCCTCAGTCCACCATGAACTAACTGTTGCCCCTCTGCCATGCCACCTTACCATGCCACCCAGCCAATTATGGACTGAAACCTCTACAAACTGTGAGCTAAAGAAACACTTTCCCCTTTAACTTTGGGTGTCAGGTATTTTGTCTCAGCAACAAGGAAAAATAACTAAGACAGCTCCTTGGCCAGCTGAAGCTACATTTTGATGGCTATTTCTATGAAGTATCTCACCTCTGCACAATCCCCCTGCCAGCCTTTAGAATGCCATATGCTCAGGTCACTGGAGGAGCCCTTGATCTGGACCCTTCAGCCCTTCCGTTCTTTGCCCAAAGGTTACCTGCTTAGCGAGGCCTTTCCCGAGCAGCCATTTTAAAACTGCAGGCTACCCCTCCCCCTCGGCAACCCCACACCCTTCCTGGGCACCCATCCCCATCTGACAAGTTAATTTAGTATTTACTTTGTTTAATGATTGTGTTCTCATGACTAATTTAAGCTCTATGTTGGTGAGGATTTTATATTCTTTTTTTAAATACAGTATACCCAGTGCCTAGCACAGTCCTGGCACAGAACAGGAACTCAATAAACATTTGTTGAATGAATGTACGAATCTGCCCTCCCACTCCCACAGGCCCCAATTTAGCATCTCCTGGGCCAGTGTCGGAAAACACTTGGGTTATGTCACTGAGTCTCAGCAGTGGCTCATGGTACCCAAACAAAACCCCCACCTGCCCTGAAAATGAGAGGCTGTCCCCTCCCATAGTACAGCCCACCCCACCCCCCATCTCCTCAGACAGCTTCCTCAGAAGCCCTTCACAGAGCACCTCCCCACCGTGCTGTGCTGTGAGTCCTGCCTATCCTCCATCTCTCAGCTCCATGGCCTTCCTCAAGGCCCCATCCCACCCTCCCCACTCTCTGACCTTCACCACTCCACTACTCTTCTTCCCTGATCCCCTCTATAAAGTGCCCTTCTGTCCCCCATCTGAGTTCTTTCTTCCCGACCAACCACATCCAGATTCCCCCTCATCCTGCATCACAGCAACCCCTCCCTCAGCAGCCCCCACCTCTTCCTCTCCTTCCTTCCCTGAGGGCCTCACTCAGAGACCTGTCTTCCTGCGTGACCAGTCCCCCATCTCCACCCCAGTACACACCAAGTCTTTCTTTTTGACTCCCATTGTACAGCTCTTTCCCCTCAATTTCTTCTCTGAGTACCCTAGCTCCCTGTTCTCCCTGACACCCCACTGCTCCACTCTCTCTGCCTCCTGACTGAGCACAGGAGTCACAGGCTGCCTGAGCCCAGCTCTCCCATTTCCTCAGCTCAGATGCAAGGGCCTAAGGAAAGAGCCACACCTCGCCTTTCTACCAATTTTAGCCCCTCAGGTCCTAGCACAAAGCAAGCATATATCTGTAAAAGAATCGGAGGAAAAATGTTTCTACTGATGTCTCTACCTCATGTGTAACTGTTAGTCTGCTCTACCTGGACAATGAAGAAACTCATGGTCACTAGAATAAATGAAAGGAAAAAAAATAGCTCTCCCTCAATCCAGAACCACAGTAATCTTCCAAAAATGGAAACCAGATTGTGTCACTCTCTGGTTCAAAAAATTAAAGGGCTCAGTACAGCCTTCAGGATAATGTCTGAGCTCACTAGCAGGACACGCAAGAGCCCCCTTGAGCCAATCCCTATGAGCTCTCAGATCTCTTCCTCCTCCTTCATACCTATTCTCTAGCCACATGAACTGTGTCGGCTTCTGGAATATGTCACACATGTCAAATAAAGCCCTGGGTCTTTGTTTACACTGCTCCCTCAGCCTGGAATCCTGTCCCTATTGTAACAACCTCTTCTTGTATTTCAAAACTTGGCTCGGTGGTCACGGGTTCTCAGTAATCTTTCCTGTTCTCTCCCCATCCTCCAGGGACTGCTCCCTCCTTTGTGTCCTACAATAACCAGTACCTCACGTTATCGGCATCTGAGACCAAGTCTTATTCAATTTCACATTCCCACTACAAAACAAAGTGTGTTGTGTGTCTCCCAGAGTGGGCTGCTGCATGCAGAAGGAAAGAAAAGATGGAAGGAACAGATGCAAAGGAGAACTAGGAAGCCTGGAACTGGCGGGGAATAAATACCAGCATGTGTGGCCCCACAGACCAAGGATGGGCAAAGACAATCTTAGGGAGGGTACTAGAGAATGATGAAAGGATCCTGGAGGGGAAGTAAGAAGGGACAAGAGTACTGGACAGGTGAGGCTGAAATCCAGGAGGAGAGAGAGGGGGAATTCACTTAAACCAACATCCTGGCTCACAGACTGATCAACAATAGCAGCTCCCTCAGTTTCCAGAGGTGGAAGATCAGAGTACCTTTGGGGCGATAAGCCCCTTTTTGAAAGAGAAGTGCATGAATCCAGGTTTCTCAGAGGTCAGACTGGGATCATCCTCCCTCATGGCAGGAAGTGTGCTGAGAGAAGGACACATGCTCTGTGAGGCTGGGACAATGAAAACGCCAGCTGACCTCAGGGAGCCCCGCCAATCTGGTCACCAGGGCATAAGTACTAGGGATAGGATAGGGAGGTTTTGCTGTAAGTACTGAAGCCCAGGCAGCTAACCCAAGGTAATGTGGTCACCATCGCCTTTTGTGACATCAGAAAGATGAACGGCTGCCCGGTTTCTTCAAGAAGTACAACCCAGCCTCTCTTCTCTCACTGGAGTTATCCACACCTAGAGCATCTCAAAAAATGGAAAAAGCCAAATAGGTTCTCCCTCAAGGCAGAAGGCTGGGAAGGGCCTTCCAGATAGGGACCAAAAAGAGCAGCTACTGAGCCTGAGGAAAAGGGTACCAGACCACAAGGGTTAGTCTTCATCTTGCTCAAAGTCTGCATCTTCTAAGCTTACTAAATGCCGCAGACTATGCTAAGATGGAGGAGAGGGATGAATAATAAGAAAATGGTTCCTCTGGGGGATCTACCAGTCTAGAGGAAATAGTCACTGAACAGCTCTGCACAGTGCAGCTGAACAAATGACTGACTACTGCGATGAGAACAAGGCACCACCAGAGCCTGGGGCTTGCTCCAGCCCAGGCTCAGTGATGGCCTGCCTGAGTGTAGAACACAATTCTTCCCAGACTACCACTTTAAAATCCCCCTCCTTATCAAAGATGACATTCTCTCTCAACTCACAGAAGAAAGGAAAGCCATTAGTTGGGTAATATTCTTTTTTAAAAATAAATTTTATTTTACTTTATCCCATTCCCCGCCTCAGTTGGGTAATATTCTTAAACAAACTTACCATCTTCAGCACCTATTATTTTTCCTTCTTTCTAAAACTGACTACTTCACCTATAATTTAGATCCTTCACATCCTATCTTTCTAGGAATTCTACACCACCATTTATCCATTTCTCTCTTCTGTACGATCAATCTGTCCTTCTCAATGGGATCCACAACCTCACAACTTGAAAACAATATATTTTTTGAACTGACCTTCACCCATAGCCACTCATTGCTCTTTTTTCCCTCACACAGGCAAACTTTTTGAGAGTTCTCCACTCACTGTTGCCATTTCCTCACCTTTCACTCCTCAGCCCTTTCTAATCCAGCTTCCATTCCTAGCACAATTCAGTACATAGTATTTACCAAGGTCAACATGACCTCAGTGTCATGTAATCCAACAGACACTAATCATCTTGGTTATATTCTCAGCAGCATTTGACCCCATGAACCCCTCATTCAACTTTTTTACAAAGTTTGTTCGAAAAAGCAAAAGTGAAGAGTGAGGGAGGAACTGGCTCTGCAGAGTGAGCCTGGGCCAAGTAAAAGAGGACAAAGCAAGATGAAAGTACACCCTGGAGGACACAGGGTGGGGTAACACAAGGAAAGCCACAAGAGCCTCATCCAACTTTCATACATGGCTTCCACACTCTAAATTTCCAATTATCTTTCTATGCTTCTGGCTTCTATATGTTGGCTTCTTAGACATCTTTGCTGGCCCACCTTCCTTTACCAGCCATTACAGGTTGAGCTTCTCACAGCTTGTTGTTACTCCTTTCTTCCTTTCCTGTTCTATATGCAATATAGGTATTTATTCATGCCCATGTTTCAATCTCCACCTATACTCTGAGGACTCCGAAATTTACATCTCCAGTTCAGATCCCTCATCTGAGCTCCAGGCATGTACATCCAATTTTCTACTGAACAGTTCCATTTGGATGTCTCTAATGCCCCTTAAATTAATATGCCATTCATATTCCTCACTGGCATCACCTAAGTAGTTCTTTCAGGATCTGGGATCATGGAATGATATGACCACCCACCCTGTTATGCAGACTAAAGGGAATCTTTGATACACCTTTCTTCCTCACTCCCTATATTCAATCCACCCCCAGGTACTGAACTCTCTGAAAAAACTTTTCTGGACTTCATCTACACTGCACCTCCACTATCAACAACAATCTACACTAAGATCCAAGTCCTTAAGATCCACATTCTTAACATAGCCTAAACTGTCCTGTTTAGTCTGGTCCCTGCCTGCCTCCCTCCTGCCCTGTCTCATTGGCTTTCTTTTGATCCCTTGAAGACTTCATGTTTTCTCTTTGAACATGATTTTCCTTCTGCTTGGAACTTCTTTCCCTACTCCTAATTATTCCTATTCCTTTACATCTTAGTTCAAATGTCATGTTCTCAGAGAAGCCTTCCTTGATTCTCTCTATCCCCAACCCACTGTAGTTTCTGTTCTTGTGGGCTCTCAAAGCACCACATATCTTTCCTTCATGGTTGTTATGGCTTGTGTCTAGATGTCCCCCCAAAGCTTCACGCTATCATAGGGGATGCTTTTCAGAGGTGTCTGGATCTAGAGTATGTGATGCTAGGGTCAAGGGTGTGTGATTACTAAATCAGTGCACTGATGGATTTGGCATAGTTCTGGTTAGGATTAAGGGTGTGAGTGCTGCACTGCCCTAATCCCAGTAGCCTGGATACAATATATAAGGGACAGAAAGAGGGCTAATGTGCTCTCACTTGCCTGCTTGCCATGGGCTATTTCTCTTCTTCGAGGCCCCTCTGCCATGCCACCCTGCCTTGGAGCTAGCTGACTATGGACTGAAACCTCTGCAAACTGAGCCAAATAAACCTTTCCTCTTTTAACTTTGGATGTCGGGTATTCTGTCTCAGTAATGAGAAAAGTAAGTAAAACAATGGTATTTATTGCATTTGTAATGTTACTCTTTTTGATTTTCCTCCTAGGTTATTAGCTCCATGGGGACAAGGACCTAGTCCTAACACAGTACCTGATATATATATATATATATATATATATATATATATTGGTCAAATCCTATATGTTGAATGAGTAAGTATCAGCTGCATTATTTTAAGGGATCACTGTGGGTGTTATGTTGAGAATACCTAAAGGGACATAAGCAAGAGGGCATGTTATTAGAGCAGTCAAGAAAACAAGAATGATGATCTAGATCAAGTTTAAAGGCAGGAGGAACAGAGCAAAGTAAATGGATTTGAGAAATATTTTGAGAGTGAATGTGAGAGAATTTGGTGAAATTAGATGTAGAGGGGTGAGGGAAAGGGGTTCATCTGGAATGCTGCCCAGGATTCCAGGCCGGGTAACTGATTAGGAAGTGGCCATTTCTAAAATTTGAAGGAAGAACAAATTTGGAAGTAGGGTGGACAGGAAACCAGGGGAGACAATTCAGCTTGGAGTCTGTAGTTTCTAATTCCTGTTGGATTTCCAAAGCAATGTCAAGAAGACAACTGGATATATGAGTCTGGGATTTCAGGAGAGCTGTCTGGATCAGATATGTAAATTTGGAAATCATCAGCATATGTACGAAATTGATGCTTTGGAAGAGAATAAAATACCCAGGGAGGAGAAAAGGGTAGAATGAAAGAAGATGGCTCAGGACAGAACCAAAAGCATCACCAACGTCATATAAAGAGGGTGGGAGAGCAAAGGAGATAGAGGAGCAGCAGACAATGCCTAGGAGAGAAACTGGGAAAATGCTTCATGGAGAGTGAACTGACACCAACAGAATAAATGCTACTAAAGGTAGAGGGATTGCACGCGAGTGTCCATTGGAATTCGCCACAGGGAGGTCTCCGGTGACCTTGGCTCCCACAGTTTCACTGTATGACAGGGACAAAGTGGAGTGGTTTTAAGAATGAATGGGAAGTTGATAAGTGTACGCAAGGTTTTGGCTTTGAAGGGTGGAAAGAGCTGGGACCATAGCTGAAGGGGCTCAGATTGCAAGAAACACACAGGCAGATTCAAAATAGGTTCGGAACAACCTCTTCACTGGAGGTGGGAAAGCTGCTCCAGCCAGTGCTAGGCCTCCTGGCAGAGCTGGGGACACAGCAGGCCCCAGGGCACACCCCTCCGTCACCGAGGGCAACAGAATGCGGTTTGACAGATCCCTGGCCAGGGACTCCTGCTGGAATCAGCGAGGCCGGTCTCCCACCCCAGCCCACCGCACCCCACGTCCCCTCCCCCACCTCCCCACCTCCCCTCGCTCCGCGCCCCTCCCCCTGTACTCGCCCCTAGACACCCCGAGGAGCAGGAGGCAAAGACTAGAGGAAGGGGCACTAGAGGACCAAAGTGGACCTGTGGGCCCTGTGAGGGGGACGCGAGGGGCCTCTGAAGGCGCGCGGCCCGCCGGGATGGGGCCTGGCTGGAGACCTGGGCCGCCGCGGGGCAGGGGCTGCAGGGCCAGGCGGCTGCCGGGGGTCGGGATCCGGCCGCGGGGGCTGGGCCCGGGCTGGGGCAGCTCCTACCTGCGCGGCAAGGCCCCAGGCCCAGGTGGCGGAGGTGGCTCAGGCTGCGGGGCTCGGGCTCCACCGCGGCTTCTCCATCACAACATCCCCCGCCCAGAAGCAGGCAGGCCGCGGGGCCGCGCCCTGAGCGGCGGGGGCGCGCGCGGGGCGGGGCCGGGGGCGGGGCGCCATCTTGGGCGGGCGCGCGGACTTGGGCGCGCGGAGTCCGAGTCCGGCCCTGAGGCGGCGACGGCTGCCGCTTCCCTGGCCGCGCCTTGCAGGACCAGCCCGGCCCGCGACCCCGACCCCCGCGACGACACCCGGTTCCATACCCGGCCCGCGCGGCGGCGTCGCCCCTACCACGAGGCCGGGGACTCACCCTGCGCCCGCTCGGCCTGGCGGCGACGCTGCCTGAAGTGCTGGTGGGGAGGGGAGGAGGGCGCAGCGCCGGAATAAGAATAGCTCGTGTTTATGGACCGCGGACACTGCACCGGCCTCTGTGTTCCACGGCTTACTCGCGCTGATCCTCATATCAGCCCTGTGCCGTCAACATAGCTATTATTCTCATTTTTCAGAGCCAGATGCTGAGGTTCAGAAAGGTAAAGCGTCTTGCCCAGTCACAGGAAGCGGTGAAATCGGGCTGAAACCCCTACCCCTGCTGAACACCCTACCCCTGCTGCTAGGCTGGGACACAAGGCCTCGCTGCTGTCAAGAATAAATTGCGCCACGGTAGAAATTCACAAGAGGAAAGGAAGAAGGGGAGAGTGTGAATGAAAAATGTGGGGAGGTAGTGAGGCGCAGTGTTTGCTGCAGACCCTCCCTGGGTAGTGGGATAGATCCCAGTGTCAGATCACTGATCCAGAGCCTATGGAGGATAATGAGGGGCAACGTTACCAAGCAGAAACCCTCTAAAGGCTCCCTCCTCCAAGGTGGAAGTTTAAATTTGTTGAATCTGGTAACATTAACTGACTAGAGATGCACTTGGAACTAAAGGTGTCCAAATCTTCTAACGAGTTTTACTGGCATGAAAATACCTCTCCCTCTCCCCCTCTCCCCTCTCTCTTTCCCCTCTCTCTCCCCTCTCTCTCCTCTCTCCCCTCTGTGGACGAAGCTCACTTCATCTATCCTAATGAATGGCATGAGCACTTTCTGGCTTGCCCAACCCACAAGGTTTAAGGTTGACTTTGAATACACTTTCACTTGATCTGAGGTGAATATACAAGGTTTAACTTTTTGTTGTGGGAAATTTCAAGTACATACTTAAAAAGGACAATATAATGGACCCTCATACCCATCACTCATTTTCAACAGTTATCAACACATAGCTAAGAGTTTATTTTGACCTGGAAAGCGCCTACGATAACAAACCATATACCATGTCCCAATCTAGGCCCAAGGGATATAAAGATGAATCAGATCTGACCGTAACTCACCTGGAGGAGTTGATGTCTGACCTGAATCCTTGAACGATGAGCAGGGATTACCCAAGAGATGAAAGGTGTCCTTTTTTTTCAATCTTCTCTTTACTATCTTTCAACAAATAATTATTCAGCATGAGGCACTGTCCTTGGTGCTAGGAATATCTAAAGAATCAAAATTGAGTTCCTTCATACAGCTTGAATTTAACAGAGGAAAGAAACATTAAGCACATAATTAGAAATGCTCTGAGTGTCTTGAAAGAGAAGTACAGGTCCCTAGGTGACAGGGCTTAATGGGAGGCCTTCACAGGAAATGACACTTATGCAACGGGCAGGGATGAAGAATATAGAGGTCAGGCAAGAGAAGAGGAAATTATTCCAGGCAGCAGGAGAAACACAGGAAGGGCACTATAGGTGTTGATATTGCTTGAAGGTTTCCGCCAAAACTCAGGCTAAAATTTAATTTCTGTTATGAGGGGTTCAAGGGTGGGATCTTTAAGAGTTTAAGTGAAATTCACCGCACCTGCCTTCCAAGTGCAAGGTCCAGAGTTCGATCCCCAGTACAAAAAAAAAAAAAAAAAGAGTTTAAGTGAAACAAATCAGATACATACGCTTAAATATCACACGGTTTCTCTTATATTAGAAACCCAAAATGTAAATAAAGACCAAAATAACAGATAAATTTGTTTTTTTGAGGGAAGTTCTTGCAATGCAGGTCAGGTTGGCCTTGAGCCCACTTTGCAGCCCAGGCTGGCCTCAAACCCATGACAATACTTCTACCTCATCTTTCCAAATGCTGGGATTACAGGTTTGTGCCACCATACCTGTTTAAAAGATAGATAGTAGGAAATAGGGAAATAGATCTTTCTCAACTGAAAAGGGGATCAAGAGATAAAGGAAGGGAGAAAGGAGAGAGGAAGGGGATGACAAAAATAATTAAGGTATGTACATGTACCAACTCTCCACAAGGAGTGTAATCATTACATACTGCAAATATGTACTAATAAAAAACCAAAACTCAAAAAAGAGGTAATAAAGGCATAAGGGTTGTGCTCTTATAAATGGGTGATCAACCCACTCATAGGTCTGTTATGAAAGCCAGTTGGTCTCTGTCTCTTACATGTACCCCTCTTGCCATGTGATGCTCTGAGCCATCCTGGGACCTTGAAGAGTCCCTACCAGCAAGGAGGCCTTCACCAGATATAACCCCTTGACCTTGAACCGTCCAGCCTCCAGAACTGTAAGCTGAATAAACCTTTATGCTCGATAAATTACCAAGTATGTGGTATTCAGCCACAATTATAGAAAATGGACTAAGATGGGTATGATGGAGCAGAGGAATAGTAGAGGAATGGAATAAGAACTGGAAATGCAGGAAGGTGCAAATCAAGGATGGCCTTGTATGTTAGGCTAAGAGTTATGAACTCTAGGCCAATGGAAAATTATCAAATGATTTGAAGCAGGAGAGTGGCACATTCACCCTTAAAAGTTATAAGTGGCTCCTTAGGGAGAGTAGATAAGACAGCAAATCTGGAAGTGTGAAGACCAGTTAGGAAGCAATTAAGGTAGTGTAGGTGGAAGATGTTGATAGCTTTGAATTATAGCATTGAGGGCGGAGGATTTAGCTTAGTGGTGTGGCCGCCTGCCTCGAAAGTACAAGGTCCTGAGTTCCATCCCCGGTACCCCCCCCCCAGAAAAGAATTATAGGATTGAAACTAGGGATGGAGAAATTTGTATAGGTTTAATGAATGTATAGGAGATAGAATCCACAGTAATGGTGACCAACTGATTGGTTGGGTATGGAATTATGGAGAAAAAGATGACTTCAGCTTTTTGATTGAACAAATGAAAAAAATCCGGAAATATCATCTATTTACAAATGGCCCTCTAGAATATTTATCCTCCCAATTTCATTGATCAGGCTGCTGCATTATTCAAGAAATATCTTCAAGTTACCAGAGGGACACAGACAGTATGATAGGAATGGGGAGAGGAATCTAATTAGGTAGGGTACACAAAGGAAGGTGCACAGTTCACATGGTCATCTTCTTCCTGATGTTCTAACCCGTATACAATCTTTCTGAATTTCCTATCTGCTCCTATGTCTGCAAAGCCTCCTGGCCCATGGAGAATCTACATGTGTCCTTCATCCGGCCTTTCTCTGTTATTTCTTCCCTCCTGATGTTCTCCAAGGCAGAAGAACAACCAATAGCCTATGAACCACTCTGGATGCTGTGAATGGTTCTGACTAATGTGGATTCTTCGGAGGCAGCAATTTTAAAATATTACATTGGAACTATCAAGAAAGACTTGAATTAGAAACAAATCTATCCAGTTACTTACCAAAGTAATGGCTTTATGTTGTTTGATTTGATAGGCCAGCCACTGAGCATTACCAAGCAGTTGGTACCCAAGTCACCTATATGGAAAAGCAGTTTTCACCTATATTGACACTACTTATTCTTTCTCTTCTCCTTGTCCTTCTTCTGTGAATTTTTTTTTTTTTTTGAGACAGGGTCTCTCTATGTAGTTTAGGCTGGACTTTAACTCACTATGTACCCCAGGCTGCCCTTGAACTCACAGATCCTCCTGCCTCAGCCTCTCAAGTGCTGGATCTATTGACACTTCTAAAGCAAAAGTAGCTTTATCCTCCATTACATATGAGTATTGTTTTTATATTGTAATTTTCCTGGTAGATGATCTAATAAATCTCCTTTCCTCTGGTTGGTGGTTTTTATTTGGAAAATCTATAAGGAGTAAAGTCTTTTCATGTACTACATGCAATGGAATTTAGAAGTCAGATTCAAGGCCTAGTGAGAACTTCTTCAACACCCTGACTAGTTAACACATACACAGAAATGTAAGGTGAGAAAGAAAAGGACTAAGAAGTAAACTTTGGAAATAACAGCATTTAGGCAGCCAGCAAAAGAAAAGAAGGCCAAAAAGGAAACTCAGGAGGAATAGAAGGGTAAGTGAAGAATCAGGAAATGGTAATACCATGGAGGAAATCCAAGGAAAGAAAAATTACCATGATTTGATCTGCATGAGCAGTAAAATCGAGGCAGAAGCCACAATTCAACTGAGCAAATAGAAAATGAGAAAGAATAAATTACGCAGAATCCTCTTTTGAGATATTTGGGGTTCTTTTGTTTTTGTTTTCTGTTTTTTGAGACAGGGTCTCTTTATGTAGTGCAGGCTGGCCTTGAACTCACTGTATACCCCAGGCTGGCCTCAAATTTGCAGCAATCCTCCTGCCTCAGCCTCCCAAATGCTGGAATTACAAGCATGTGCCACCATGCTCAGCTTAAGATATTTGGAAGAAAGAACAGACAATACCTATAAAGTGATATGAGGTTAAAGTTTCTAGTTTTGTGGTATGGAGTTTGATCAAAAACTAAAATAGAATTGTCATACAATCCAACAACCCTGCTATTGATATAGCCCCTATATATACTGCATGTATCTTCTGGATATAGCCAAAGGAACCAAAATCAATATGATAAAAGGATATCTGAACTCTCCTGTTCATCACAGCATTATTCACAGTAGCCAAGATATGGATTCAACCTAAGTGTCCATCAACTGGTGGATAAATGCATAAAGAAAATATGGTACGTACACACAGTGGAATACTATTCAACTTTAAAGGGAGAAGAATTCCTGTGATTTGTGGCAAAAATGGATGAATCTAGAGGGTGTTATACCATGTGAAATAAGCCAGGCACAAAAAAATAAAAACAAAAACAAAACAAATACTACATGATCTCAGTTATATGTAAAAATCTAACAAAGATGAATTATAAAAACACACAGGAGAATGATAGTTACCAGGGACTGAGGGTGTGGGTGGACAAGGAGGGAATGGGAAGTTGTTGATTGAAAGGTACAAATTTCCAGATAGGAGGAGTAAGTATTGAGATCTATTAAAGAGCAGTGTGACTATATTAAAAAATAACATGCTGGTATTTCAAAGTAAGAGAATAAATTTCAAATATCTGACCATAAAAATGATAGGTAAGTAGATGAGGTACATGAATACTAGCTAGACTTAATCATTTTATGTTGTACACATGTACCAAAACATCACATTGTAAACTGGGCATGGTGGTGCACCCCTGTAATCCCAGCACTTGGGAGGCTGAGGCAGGAGGATTGCTGTAAGTTTGAGGCCAGCCTGAAATACATGGCGAGACCCTATCCAAAAAAAATCACATTGTATCTCATAAATGTCAATAAAAGTAATATTTTTGGCCATGGATTTAGCTCAGTGGTTCCTTTACCTGCTTCGCAAGCGCCGCAAGGTCCCAAGTTCAATCCCTGGTACAATAATAATAATAATAAATATTTTTAAAAGAAATTGAAAAATAAAATTTGAATTTCATCTCTCAGATTTAAAAAATCCTGGTTTTAATCTTCTTAAAGATGGTAGCGAGCTGTGTTGCTGTGTGCCTGTAACCCCAACACTCTGGAATACTGAGGCAAAAAGATCTTAGGTTTGAGCCCAGCCTGGCCAACTTAGTTTCTTAGCAAGACCCTGTTTCAAAATGAAAAAAGGGCTGGGGATGCAGCTCAATGCAAAAGTCCTGAATTTCGAGTCAATCCCCCGCACGCGCACACACACACACACACACACACACACACACACTCACACAAAATAATTTCAGACAAGATAGTTGATGGAGTGTAAGCCTGGTAGACATCTTGCCAGTGAAGGCGCAGCCTTCCCAAGAATGAAGCCAACTGAAAGAAAGCAGAGCTTAGGGATAGAGAGACACAGGTGAATGATAGCATCAATTTAATACCTATACTCATGTCTGCCTGAAGTCAAATCCACCCATAGGTTATTCTAGCTACGGAAGTAATAAGTTTCCTTTTTGCCTGCACCACTTTGAGTTTTATCACTTGCAACTAAGAGCTGTGATGAGTCTGAGTAAGTGTGGCAGATAATGCCTGTTGGTACTCATTCTCACCTTCACTCTTTTATAATCTCCCCGGTACGGTACCATCACTGTGGAAAATGAAGACCACAGTTCTCACATTTGCTTATCAGGGAGTTGGTTCCTGTTAAGTCGGAAGGTGGGAGGAAGGGAGAAGCCCTTCTGTTGCTGGCAGCATCTGTGGCAATGTCAAGTGTCCTCTGTCTGTCTATGACCTCCCCAGAGCATGATCAGGAAGGCCATTGGCTCAAGGGTGCATGAGGCCTGCATGGGCCCTGCATGAGCACTGCATAGATTTGACCCTAAAACTGTGTAGTGTGTTCTAGGGTAGAGATCATATTGTTTACACAATGGCCCAAGCTCCCTTTTAAACCCCATAAAAATTCCCAAAGAGCCTTCTTGGGTATCCTACTCTGAACCCCTTCCTGACTAGTAGGAGCTTTGCTTTCTTTCTATCTTTTGCTTTCTTGCCTTTACATTTTAAAAATAAATTTGCTTTGTACCCTATCTCCTTCATCTGTGGTTTCATTCTTCATGTCGGTGGGACACGACGCCAGGATTCCAGTAATACCAGCAGCATCAGCAATATAAGCTAGTGCAGATTTGTGGGCTCCAGCTTTAGGTTCTTTGGGCAATACCTTTTCTCCCTTTCTTCAAATTCCTCTATGAACTGCAGTGAAAATACCAATAGAACTCTACAACAAAAATAATCTTTACTTCAACTGTCACACCCAAGGCAGTCTTCACATATGAAAACTGCATTTTCCATACACAAGTATCAATTACACTGATAGCATGTACTTTTTTTTTTCCTGTCCTTTTTTGGAGGGCACATCTTCATGGATTTCCTATTGTCATAGTAGGTCTTTGTGATCCTGCACCTGCCTATTCACCTGTCAGCTCACCAGTGTGCTCCACAACTTTTTTGTGTAGTTCTCTGGGCAGAAACATTTTGTTTTTCCTCTGCTGTAGATGGTCTCTTCTGAGTTCCAGTCCGAATCAATCCTCTAAGAAAAGTTTTCCGTAGTATTTTGCACTTGGTATTTTCTTTGTAAACTATCAAACTATTTATGCCACACATCTTTAGGATTAAGTAAAGCACAACCATCATCATTCCAACACGGTGCAATTTCGTTTGTTTGTTATCAGTACAGGATAGTTTTTCTTTGCCATATACATGGCCAATCATATCTTTCTGAAACCCAAAGATTGTACTATACAATTCTGTTTTCAAATTGCAACATTTCATTTAGAATTTCTGCTCTGTGCCTGCATACATCTCCTATGCTAGTCAAGTTGTACTCTGTTAACAAATATAATATCAATTGGAGACTGGTAAACTTATTGTCAAATGTCACATTCCAGTTAGTTTGGGAAATGGGAGCAACAAGTCTGTTCACAACATCATTGAGTTTATTATTATATGAATTAGGACCTGGTGGCTGAGTTCCAGGATAAATTTCTAAATTTAAAGCATAAGTCTTTGCATCTGCAAGGATATAAATTTTTAGGTCATATTTTGAAGGGTTTTTTTTCTTGGCATATACTGCCTGAAACTACAGTGACCATGAAATGCTACAAGATGTTCATCAATAGTCATAGTATGTAAATTGTGTGACAATTACTCCCAAATCTCTCTCAAACAAAGAGCTGAGAGGAGCCAGATTATCAGTTGTTTTTCTTTCTTGGCCAGTGGTTTTGTCATCAAATCTCAGGCAATTTTGAAGGCAATCAAATCTCCTGCAGTGTTATTGTTATTCTACAAACCTCAAGCCCACACCCATCACTTTTCCCTAAATCTTTTACATTCCTTAAATTACCATAAGAAAGCCCTGCTAAGTACAGCAGACCTGTGAGTGCTTTCAGTTCAGCTAGTGAAGTGTCATAGTAAACACATTTTTGCATATGGCTATTGGTGCATTATAGAAGGTTTTAGTTATATTTCAAGCATTTGTGTATTTCACAACATCTGATAGCATTTTGTGTGTTACAAACAATTTCCAACATTGAATGACAGTGCTGGCATTCCATTTGGTAAGTTTCACCCCTGCCAAGTTCCTCACTATATTTTTGGACCTAGTTCTAACATTGGATCATTCCATTTGTTTGCACGACCATTTTTTACCATTTCAACTTGTCAAATATGTACTTACATTGCTGTTTTCTTCATCATCTGAATCAAGGAGGTCTGGATTCCCTGTGTCTATATTGGTCAATTATTGTTTCATTTCACTGTCATGGGAACTTTGGCTCACATGACCAATGTCAAAGTCATTATCATCTTCATCATCCATGCACGAGTAGTCTGATAATTCATTTTTTATCTCCTCCAAAACTTGCCAATCTGTCTTTTCGTGTGCCATTGTATAGAATTAGGCTATTTCTACCAGAAAAATCAAAAGAAAACTTCTGAAAAAAACAAATTCTAAATGCACAGAAATTTGGCAATGAGCATTTCATGAGTAAAATTTACCCGTTGAAAAAAAACCTCACCTATTGCTGCTTTGGAGCTCCTGTATGTACCTTGTCATTCCTCTGCTGAGAGGGTGAATGCACAGATGAGTTTTGCTTTCCCTAAGTGCAGCTACTGAGTCACACCCACATTCCATTATGGTAAAATACATATTTACATAATAGAAGAATAGTATGGGTGTATTTTACCCTCTGTGATGCTCAGGAAAATGTATGCAACCCTGTTAAATGGAGCACTATGTGGGTTAAAATCCTGGTTTGACACTTTTGCACGTGTGCACACACTTTGCACTCACCGTACTAAGTGGATAAACATAGAGATTGCTTCCTGTATCCCTGAGGCACAACTACTGAGATGCACAGACAGCTACTATTATGCTAAAGTACAAATTTACAGTAGAAAAGTATGGGGTGGGTTGTTGTAACCCAATGTTATTCTGTATGGGTAAAGAAGAGGTAATTGGGGGTA